TACTAAATTAACTTCTGAAGTATAATTTTTTATTGTTTTTATATTTTTCAATATATTTATTTTGTTTGTACAAAATAAAAAAATAATTTTTAACAATACAATAGTCTTTGTTAGGCTTAACATTGACGAAAATTCAACGCGAAGCGACACGCAACGGAGAAAAATGTCAAGATGGGATAAATTAATATATTTTTTCGTACATAATTGGTTATCCGAAACATTGATCTTCCGAACAACCCCAGTCCCCAATTGGTTCGGATAATCAACACTCTACTGTATATGTTACCAGGCCATTTATTTCAATAGAATTTTAATTTATAAACTTTTTAAGTGTTATACCTCCTAATTTTATTAGTCTGTATACTTTTAACATTTAATGCAGTTCTTCATGCTTTCATACACTTTAATAAATGGCTAAATATATCTGAAAGGACTTTTTTCTATAGATTGTCCATTATAAACATTGTAAACCTGTCTAGATTTTTATAAGCATAAACAGATATGTAAAAAAGCCTTCTATGTATTTTAGTTTATTGTTTACTTTTTATAATTTTTATCTTGTCATTCTCCTACATTGTTGTGGTTTTTTTTGTCTTTTGGACATTACCAATGATCTGTTTTGTAATAAATATTAAAATATTTATATATTATATTAAGGAGGAGGAATCAAAACAGAATAACTTAATATTCTGTTTATATTATATATATATATTTCAATAATTTTCTATATAAATTTAATAAAATTTGATTATATAAAAATTTGCTAAATTATTTTTATAAGAAATTTCTAAAAATAAGAATAAACTCAAGACCAATTTTTCTCAAACGACTTCGTTTCAGATCAACTAGATTATTGAATTACCTTCTTCCCCAACAGGATTATTTTCATTATGATTTCCTCTGATGGTAATATTCCTCGTATTCAAATTCCTTTCACTAATTTCGGGATTTTTTCCATCGTTCACCTGATCACTGTTTTTAATAATACCCAATCTCCAGTTTTCCAATGCAGTCATAATTCCAACACGGTCGTAACCTACATGAACGTTCGCGGTCGGCGAACCGACTTTCAATTCGGTCTTGTAACCATGGGAAGGATTATCGTTACAAACGCAACCGTCCTGTAACTGCGGCATACTTAACGCTCTCTGCTGAGACAACACGTTATTGGGTCTTACGGTGGCAGTGTTGACGTGATTATGACGACTCCTGGTTCTCAGAGTCGGTTCGTTTATATCAGTGGCACTACCGGGACGCTTCTGCATATTTGGTATTTTCATTTTGGTGCATTCGTTACCCTTCTCCGGTAACGGTACGGATGCCGGTCTGTTTGCCATTTTTGTTAATCTGGAGACTTTCTGTTTGTCTTCGTTAAACTGATTAGCACGGTGACGAAGGAGACATATTTTTAGGCCAGCACAGAAACGTTCAAAGCTTAACATACCATTAGTGGGAGTGACTTTCCTTAGACTTTCAAGCACACCACTAGGCAAACCCTTTGTACCATTTTCGTGCCACCGACGTTCAATTTCACTAAATTTTACATAACCAGTTTTCTTATCGTCCATAATATCAAAAAGTGTCCTCATCGACGAGACAAATTGTTTAGGTAAACCATCCAAAGTAGTAGAACGTTGTTGACGTACATTAGACATCATGTTTCGCACGTGTAACATGTAATAAATGTCAATTACTCAATTAAAATTTTCAAATGACATTATTAAATTTATACTAATTTAATTCGTCGATAAATTAATTTGAGCAAAATATCCACATATTTTTCAAAAGTCGCGTGCATACGTCAAACGTATGCTTACGTCCAAAAAAAAATAAAATAAAACCTCGCAAGTTATCCGACGTTTGATTAGTTCACGTTTAAAGCCGTATACGGCCACGCTATTGGTTATCTATCTTCGATTTGAGTTCGAGAATAGAAAAATTTTGTTTTCTGACATCTCTTTGGTTGTTTATTCAAAAATTAATGTGAAATTAAATGCGATTGGTTTATTTAATAAAAGACGCGGTATCGAGATTATGAAAAAGGCGACCATTTTTAGTCGTCAAATTCACGTTGTGTGGGTCGTAAAAATATACTGTTTTCTTGTATAGGTTATATTAAAATATACTTTAAATTCGATTATTTCGGCCGTTTGAAGTATTTATAACATATAAATTGGTACGTATTGATAGATATGTTCTTTATATTTATTAAGAAGGAAATTTCTTTAAAAATCAATGAAACGAAATGAGTCATTATATATTAATTGTAGTACCTTTAGTTCATTATATGGATGCTTTCTTTCATAAATACAATAAATTCACGGCATTTATTGATAAGACAGCGTTAAAGAATGATAACTTGACCCTTTAGTAACCAAAAAGTCATTGGATTATATCTTTATAATATAAAATTTGCATATATTAAATCTATCTTGATTAACTTAAGTTAAATTTGAATTATATATAATAAAACAGAGACACAGGAGGTGATACAGGACCCAATTTCTCATCCTTCAAATATAAAAATGGTGATTTCACTAAACAAGAATATTATTAAAATTATTTTATTTCAGATATATACAGATTCAGATTATTATCAAAGTGGTCTAAGTCAAAAGTAGGAAAAGTTTGAATTTATTTCACAAACTATTGATAAAATTTTACATTTACACAAAAGAAAAACTATTTTGTAAGAGTAAGTATTTTTGTTTTATTTTTGCAAAGTCATATTTCCAACAGAAAAATATATGACAGACCACTTTCATAATTACTGACATATAGATGGATTTATGGGAAATAATAAATGAAATATGTACGGTAATACCTTGGTTTTCATTGACTTCAGTTATTGTCAATTGCCTCGGATCACGTTACCTCACTGCTAATATTGCGAAAACAAAGGGTGATCCGTGCATTTTCCTGCTTGGCGTGGCATTGTTTTTTGTTGTTTGATCATTACCCCGTGCATCTAGCCACATAATTCTGTTGCTTTCATAATCTTTTAGCTCAATCATGGGACCAAAAAAAGTTTACAGAGCCAGCAGCCCTTTGAATACCACGTTAAATGTTCATTTATTCTTTACGTTAGTATTTTATATTCATTTTTATTAATTTCTTATTGTTTTTAGTATTAAACACAATATTTATTCTCTATAAAATGTGTTTTTGATATGTATTTTGGAGTGTCTGGAATGAATTAATTGGATTTATATTGATTTGCATGGAAATGATTGCCTAGGTTTTTGTCGGTTTTGGATTTAACCAATTGTTTTCAGACGGATTATCAATGAAAACCAAGGTATCACTGTATTTACAACTATAGGAATTTCACTGATAGTAATAGAGACTTGGTTTCTCTAATATTGTAATAATAGTTAATATAACTTTTATAAATAAGAAAATATACTTTATAACTAGATAATGTAGGCATTGAGATGTTTTATTTTCAGATTGTAATCCTTTAAAGATGGGTCTACAGACCCAAAAATATTTGGATATATTTTTTAAAATAATTTTGCTATAATGAAGCTGTGTCTTAACATTTATTCAGTGAAACAATGTATTCATTACTAGGAATTGTTGCTGTGTTTAATTTTTTTCTTTTTTGAGAAGTTAGCTTGCAATAATTAGATCAAATACTTTTTCATATAAAAGTATCTTATAAATTACTCCAAATTGTAAAATTTTAAAATACTAATAAAATAAAGTAACAAATTAATGTTTAAATTTCTCAATTGTGGAACATCCTAAAAGATTTGATCAATTTAACTACTACCAGTCTATGACCTTGGTTATTTTTTCAGGAGATTGCATAAGTTTTAATTCCTTTCTATCAAAATTTAATGAGAAAGTAGATGTAGAGTATCTATTTTTCTAATAATTTTATTATATGATTGCAATTGTAAATTTTTAGTATTAATAATTAAAATTTGATAAATTAATTTAATTATATAACAATACTTTGCATTTAAGACATTTTTACATTAAAGAAAATAATTTTGGATTCTAAGCATTATATAATTAAATTTGATTGATTTTTTTTTGTAATATATGATATGATTATGATATATAATTACTAATGAAAATAAGTAAATTACAGGAATAACATGATTAGCAGAATTTACATCTATTGAAAAAATATTTTTCTTATCGTGTCTGAAGACTTTTTTTGTAAGCACTAGGGTCTGAAGTTTTCTTTACTGAAACCTTGGACATCCTGCTTTTTTAAGAACAACTGTACTTTTTAAATTTGAATTTGTATTAGCATTTTTGTTTAATTTATTACGTAAAGCAGATATACAGTTCAAATACTCTTTCAAAGGAAAAACTTTGACTGTAGGTGTTGAATAAAGACTGGCTAAAAATAGGAATAGGGGAGAAGGGTAGGTTGTAAAATGCGGAACAATATTCATTATCTGTTAAAGAAGACTAATCTGGTTAAGTAAACTTTTCCTTAGTTATTTATTTATTTGACAAGAATCTTAGTACAGTAGTAATGAAAAAGAAATAGTTTTAAGGTTAAGACTACAGTGTTTATTTGGTGAAAATTTAAAGATTGTGTTACAAAGGCGATTTGCCAAACACTTTAAATTGTAGGAAGATATTTGAATTTCTTGAATTTATGACGTAATTTATGATCTTAATACCTTTGTGGTGGCTAAAGTAATTTTTAATAAATCATTATTGAAAAATGCAAAAATGTATGAAAAATTACTTCTACTCAATAACTATAAAGCAGACAAATCACCATATTGGTTTTTATTAGTTGCTTAGATCATAAATGGCATTATAAATGCAAGAATACCAAATACATTTTTTATCCCTTGAAGTGGCTAGCAAATCACCTTTGTAACTTGACATTCAAACTCTCATCTCCTAAATCCTTCTGTTCATAATAACAGTTTTATCAATATTTTATTTATTTTTTGTTACTTCTGCTCAGATCATTTTTGATGAATTAATATTTAATCAATGTTTACGTTTAGTTGTAATTTTTATGTTCCATTTAATTAAAATATCCTATACAATTGTTTTCTATTTAGTATTCAATTAAAATGTGATTTTTACAGCTGAAAAGATAAATAATATATTGTATATATATTTTAATTATATATGCTACATATACTTTTTGATATTTTCACATTCCTAACGTAAATTTGATGTTCTCATAATCCATCATATTCTTCACCAGCATGTATCTCCGAATAGTAGACACCTCTAAATAGCAGACAAACTTCTTGGCTCTTGACAATGTCTGCTATTCAAAGGTTTTACTGTATATATATGTGTGTGTGTGGGGGGGTGAGCTCATGCACATTTGAGGGTCCTTCATCACACACATACAACTTGAAATATTACTAAATGAAGTGAAAATACAGTAACTATTTTTCAGTTTTAAAGCACAGAAGCCTTAAAGATAAAAATGGGAAAATGAAATATTTTTTCTAATTACAAAATATTATAATTATACGGTTAACAAAAAATATTTTGTTAACCGTATAAGTGGCTCTTCAATGAGTTGATTGTTAGAACGTAGATTTTGTGCTGTAAGCCCCACTGAAGAGGCCGTAGGCGAAATGCATTTGGGAAGCTTGTTAGTAATAACGTAAATAAAGGTTTTTCTCTGCAGATT